TTTTTCCAGCAGCCTAATTTCTTTCTAGCGTAAGAATCCTCCGGAAGAAAGAAAAACAAAGGGAGTGGGGGAAACGAAAATAAATCAAGCTGTGGTGACTCAGATGGGGGTAGATGCTGAATCTGAAGCAATAAATAGCCCTCTGAAAATTCATGCAAAATAGGCCACCTGGAAGGCACCCACTGTAATTCCTTGTTATTTGTGAGTTTTTGACAAGGACCAATTATTTTAAAAATAAAATCACCTGCAATTCAAAATCTGCTCTGCCACCAAATAGCTGTTGTTTTATATACCTACAGTCTCGCGACAGCGTCCCAAGATCAGAATTATCGCCCTTTTTTGTAGCTGGGAAGCTGAGGTTCAGAAAGTGGTAGACCTGAAGTAAACAAATCCTGACTAATTTGAGTGCCTCCAACACCTTTGTCTCTCTAATAAGCCATTTTGCTAGGCCTTACCCTCACCTGGACATACTTAACCTAGCTAGTAAAATAGGCTCCTCTCTGAGGCTCTCAGATCAGAGCCCCAAAACAGTGATTCCTGGTCATTGAGTGGAGAAAAAGTTAGTACAAATAAGCAATTCTCTCCCTGAAACTGCAGATAGACCCCAAGAACAATCTGCCAATCACTGGTGTTTATTGTTTATTTCCCTTTTAAAAGTAGGATACTGAGTATCTAACAATATGTTCACTTCTTTGTTTACTTCATGCAGGTGGGAAATTGATTTCATGGTCACTGAGCAGACCTTGGTTGGTGGCCTCAGGAGGGAGAACAGGCTCAGAATAAGCCCCTGGACAACAGTTGAATATTGAAATGCTAGTTTAAGAGAAAAGCCTGCAAAGGACACCTCCCTGGGTACACTGGCTGTCCCGTGGAACACGAAGGAGAGCAGACAAATTGGCTGGGCCCAGGAAAAGTCTGGCTTGTCACTGCCTCGTTCCATGAGGACAGATAAAAAATGGTCAGCAAAGATTTATCACGACGTAAGCTGCCACATGATACAAAATGCTAATAAAGTGCTATAAGTGTAAGATGTTTAAAATGGGATAAGTTCACATCTTATGAATAAATCCACACATGAGCCAACAAGAAAGTCCAGCTGCCAGCACCCACAAGGGCCTGGCCTGGGACAAATCTAAACAGCTCAGGCAAGTAAGGAAAGGGGTATCTTATGCATTCATACCCAAGCCTTGAAAAATCCTGACCGAAAACAACCTCAGAACTAGCTGTGAACTCCAGTCTGGTGAGCCAGGCTAAGCAGATAACCTCTACTTAAGGGGCCCCCAAGAAGAAGAATCACGTGAAGAGTGGCTAGCAGGGTCACAGGAGCTTATACTCTCCTATATTACTCTTATAATTAAGCAAAAAATATATATATCTAATACGTTCATAACTAAAAAGCTATCTCTTCCTTATAGCCTTATTAGGAGCTTCTAACTTCCCTTTTTCATTCCCCAGAAGAACAGGTGCTTGGAAGGGTAGAAAGTGGGAGAAATTACCTTCAACACAGCCACCATCAATCAAATCAAAAAAAACCACAGCATCCACCTCCAAGCCCGGGCTAGGCAGAAATTTATATGATCAATCTGACCTTTGTTAACAAGCATCATGTGTTTAATAGATTGTTTGTCCTCTGATCAAGCCTTTCTCAATTCGCCTCCCACAAGCCAGATCTATTGTGGGAAAGCATTCCCAGGATCAGGAATTGGCTTCCTGCTTTCTGAGTGGGTCTAGAATGTTGAGTGTAAGGGAGCAGGAGAATTTGCTGTCTCTGCCATCATCTTGTCCTACCTCCTTTGCCCACCCAGTTTTCCCTATAAGGAGTTGATTCTGACTTATAACAATCCTTTTTTTTTTTTTTATCCTATAGGACAGGGTAGAA